TTTAAATAGAAGGGTGAGGACAAGCCCTGCTTCCTTTTGTGCTGCAGCATGTGGGTGAGAGAGTACAAGAGGAGAGGAGAGGAGAGGAGAGGGGAGGAGAGGAGAGGAGAGGAGAGGAGAGGATGGGTTTGGGGAGGAGAGGAGAGGAGAGGATGGGTTTGGAGAGGAGAGGAGAGGAGAGGAGAGGAGAGGAGAGGAGAGGAGAGGAGAGGAGATCAGGAGAGGGCAGCAAGAGGAGAGGAGGAAGGAGTGAAACATGGGATTGCACTTCTGCTCTCCTCATCAAATTTCTCTCATCTCACAGGTTGCATCTTCCGCTGAGCATGACGTAGACGGCGTCGGGGACCTCGTCTTGTCTGAATAGGAAGTCGCCCTCAGTCTGCAAGGACGACGCGCAGTGATATCAGCAAGGGCGAGCATGACGGGAGGGAAAAGCCTGTCCTTCACCTTAGTCGTCAATACGGCAACGCTTGCAAGCTCCTGCGTCTGCGCCTCCGAGAAAGACTGGAAGAACTTGAACTTGCGAACGATGGAGAGAAGCTTCTCGATCCTGTCATGGAGGTTCGTAGACTCGAGGCTCTTCATCAACTGGAACTCGTTGGGCGCTATGTTGGTCTTGCCCACCACCTGACGGGCTCAAGTCATGAGACGGTAAGGCGACAGAGACACGAGAGAACTGACGGAGATCGCTGCTGCCTTGTGAACAGCCTTGGAGACCTGAGACGAGTGACGTCATGACACGTCGGTCAGCTACCGCCACCTCCCTTACTTTCTTCCGAAGTTTCGACTGATGGTGGTTCAGAAGGTAATCCCACTTTGGCAGCTTCAACTCTTCCTTGTCTTCTTTGCTCGCTTCAGCCGAATCATCCTTCTTCTTCCTTCCCAGCGCCACTGCCGCAAACACCTTCATCGCAACCCTCGCCATGTTTCCTTTCTTCGCCAGCTGAGGAGCTGCATCTTGCTTTCCGTCTTGCTCCTCGCGTGCATTAGCATGTAGGCGATTGGTCAGGTCCCGAAGAGAAGGTTTGTTCAAGACGCGCTGACTGCCGTGCGATGCGACGAGAGATTTCTGACTGCTGTTGTTCCCCAGCACTTCAGACCTCAACTCATCTTTCTGCATCGCCGAATGTCTGACAAGACCCGTCAGATCCGCTATCAACTTCGTCTTCCTCAACAAGGGCGCCCAGTATGCCCCGTGGTGGTGTCGAGGGGAGAGCTGTCGCTCAGGGGTGGGAGGAGAGACGACGGTAAGGGTCCCTTGAGGAACGTGGAGGTCCGATGTCTGTCGACGTAGAGCATGCCTGCGAGGGGACGTCTTGGTTTCCTTTCCTTCCTCGCCGTCGGGGTCCGTCACCTCAACGCTATGAGAGGAGGGGTGGCTGGAGAAGAGCTGAGGGAGCGAGTTGGACTGCAAGGAGAAATCTTTGATGTTGACGTTACGACGAGGGGAGATCTTGAAGTTCTTGCTGGAGTTGAGGAAGGGGCCCTCAGTAGGGTTGGAGGAGGAGGAGGCGGCTGGCTTCAGGAGGGACAAGCGCGAGCGATGGACTTGGGCTTGGTCCTCATGATGAGCCAGGAGGGAGAAGTGGTGGGGTCGACCTTGAGACTGAGTAGAGAAGCTTCGCTCGGTCTCAAGTGGGGATGCGAGGGAGGATGCGAGGGGGGATGCGAGGGGGGTTGCTGGTGGGGAGCGTCGGAGACGGAGGGAGCAAGGGGAGGAGAGGAGAAGGCAAGTGGGGAGCGACGAGGAAGCAAGTGGGGGAGGCGAAGGGGGGTGCTGGTGGAGAGCGTCAGAGACGGAGGGAGCAAGGGGAGAAGACGAGGAAGCAGGATCAAGAGAGGAGGAAGGAAGAAGAGTCGGAGAGTGAGGGGACGGTAGCTCGGCAGCGAACGTCGCCATGGTTGGCAACGGATGTCAAAAGCCCACCCCCCACCCCCTGACAGTAGTGTGATAATCAAATGTATCTGAGGGGAGGGGGTGGATGAGGTGCAGGATTGCTACATTTGCGACTTTCAATGACCAGAGCAAGAAACTGAGAAAGTAAGAGCGATGAGGTGAGATGATGAGAGCGATGAGGTGAGATGATGAGAGCGATGAGGTGAGATGATGAGAGCGATGAGGTCAGATTGATCGCGGAGATGAGCACCTAGCCCGAACAGGTCGCCTTGGCAAGAACAGACCCGCTCTTCTTAACATTGAACGAAGTTTCGGGTACAATGTTGAGCTCCAAGTGATTTATACGAGAGAGTTGACAGTGGAGGGGAGGGGAAAGGACTGGGCAGGGCAGGAAAGATGGGGGTTGGACGTGGAGAGGGGTTCAGAGGAGAGGAGAGGAGGAGAGATGGAGTTTAGAGATGATGGAGGCGGAGGGAAGAAGTAACTTCAAGCATTGTTTTGCAACATCAATGCTATCACCATCAAATGATGAAATCAATCAAATCCACCTGGCCAGGCTCTGCTGCCTGCAGGGAGCATTACGTCTTGCCCTGCATACAGTCCCCGGTCGCGATCCCCCCTGCCCCCATGTAGCTGCGCAAGGACGTCGCTGGATTTCGTTTTCCTCACTTTTGCCGCATCCTCCTCTGCCTTGCGACGTATCGAGGCGACCTCCTCCTCAGCCCTGCGCATGATCTCCGCTACCTCCCGCTCCTGGGAGTCCACCTCGCGAGCAGCAAACTGGTTCTTGACGTCATCGGGGGAGTACACCATCTCGATGTCAAACTTTCGGTCAGGGTCGTCGTTGATCCTGTCAGGCAGGGCAGCCGAAACCTGTTGGATCACTGCGCTCAGGTCTGCCAGGCCCATCGGGCCCCCGGGGTTCCCGTACATGACGACCCTGGGGCGTTTGGCCGTGACGCCCTTCCCTTTCAGGGGTCTGCCAGGCTTTGGGTCAGGATGATCGTGGGAGCAGGTAAGCACAAACACGCTCGTCCCGAACCCTGACCCTGATACGTTCAACAAGTTTGTTCTGGCTTTCAGTGAGATCGCTTGTAAGAATAACTTGCCCGCTCGCTTCCTGTACGTCGCAGCCCTTCCCCTGCAGTCAGAGCTGGATTCCAAGGATACCTCTCCCGCGCCCCCCCTCGCTGTGCAGGTTCTGTCCTATCGGTCGAGCTTTGACCATCGTTGTCCTGCTCCAAGTCTTTGCCGCGTTTCCTTTTACCCCTGATGGAAAACCTCTGCACTATCTCCAACTGCTCTTCTCTCGTCAGCTCCATGAAATCGTCAACGCTCTTCCCCGTCTCGTTGACCCACTTCTCGGGGCATTGTCTTCTGTTCACACGACGACCTTGACGTTTGAGACTGACCAGCTCACTGTCTGTGCCCTCCATGTTTCCCATCATTGAGAAGTTTCTCATGGAGTCATCCACCTTCTGTAAGGACATGATCGATGATGATGATGCTGATGATCTCTCTCTCCCCTCCTCCCTACCTCCCTCCCTCTCTTTCCCTCTCCCTCTCCCTCTCCCTCTCCCTCTCCCTCTCTCTCTCTCTCCCTCTCTCTCTACGTCTCCCTCTATCTGCTCCCGTTGTCTCCCCTCCTCCCTAGCGTCTTGTCTCTTCTCCTCACTTTCCTTCCGCGTAAAACAAAAAAAAAAGGTTTGGTCTCGCCCAAGACGAGCTAGTCCTGATCCTTGTTCCCCTGCTTGTCGCGCATGGTGCCGCTCGTGTGGTTGGACTGACGGTGTTGGCTGCCTCTTCTTTCTGTGTGGTCTCTTGTTGCATGAGGCGGACTTGTTGGTTTACTCTTTCCTTCCTAGCTTGCTCCTGTTTGTCCACTCAAGTGATTAAACATAACTATTTTTCTCATTTTTCTTATTCTACTACTGATGGTCCTCGTGATAGATCAGTGAATGGACTGACTGACTCAGCACAAGACTGACGTGTGTGCTTGTCATGGCTGAGTGATGCTTAGTGGGACTTGTTGTGTAGTTTGTTGATGTATCGAAGTAAATAAGTATACACGAGCCGCACATACAGCAAACATGAAAAATTCACAAAAATTCACATGGACCCAGTCATCGCTTCAGATTCATGATACCATATCCTGAGACGTGATGTTGTGCAAAACATCAACTTACATGCCCGAATCCTTTGAATGCATGCAGCAATTCGGCTTTGAATTACAAAACTCATGGTAGGGCAGCAAACAGGCAGGGCAGACTTGGCTGTTCAAATTTCATCCACGTTCAGCTCACACTGCTCGTACCACTTGAGCCAGTTGCGATCTTTCGCGTCAAACGGCGTCCAGAGGCAGGGCCAAGAACCTGACATGCTGCTGGACTCTGACTCCTCCACGCCCTGCTCTGAAGCCTCCGACTCACTCCCAGCAGAAACTACTCGATGCGATCGCTGCTGCTCGAAGGAGGCTGCAGGTGAGTCAAAGACTAGTATGCTCTCAGTCAAACCAGAGATCTCATCCTCTGACTCCGCATCGTCCACACTGCCACAAGCTTCTTCTGATGCAGTAGTCATTGGTTGTTTAACGAACGGTTCGTTCTCATTCCAAGAGCTCGCGCGGCTCTGCTGTGCATCCATGGGGTTGGGCTCAGGGGCTTCTGCTACAGGGGTCACTTGTGGAGGCGGGTCAGCAAGTGTCTCAGAGGGGTTGAGAGCCCAGCGGCTGTATGGCCATCGCCTGATACCGAACTTGCGACATGCAAGCTTGAGGCTGGTGACCGACATGCCCTGGACAGGAAGTGAGCGGTTGAAGCCTTCCTCCTACAACTCTCATGCTGACAAGAGCGAAATCAAGAGATATCTCACCAAGCGTCTTGCTGCCATCTCCTGGGGAAGGTGGAACAGGGCCTGGAGGGTAGGAAGGGAGATGCTGACTGGGGGAGGAGGGGTGGAGCAGTCGCCGCGAGGGCGCGGAGAAACAAGAACATGAGCGGAAGAGTTCATGAACCTGGACAGTCAGACGACAAGGGGAGCAGGAGGCGAGGGCGATGGCCGAGGTCTGCCGGTGAAGGAATGGAGGGGTAGGGAGGGAGGTGCAACGGCTTTCCATTAGACCTCATTTCATACAACGATTGCCTGTTGCTTCCATCGAAAAGACCTCTGTTGGATGGGAGATGCACCGTGGCAGCCACACCGAATACGGCGGAACTTGTCGGAAGCCATAAGTCCCTAATCATTGAAGTGCCACTCAAACTCGGCCGGGACCCACTTGGGCCGTGGAATCGATCTGGGGAGGTAGAGGCACGGGAGCACAAAAAGGTACAAGTGCAGGCTGCTCGTCGGAGTTGGTCAAGGCGGAAGCCAACAAGGTTCAGATGTCCTTTGAGTTGCTCGCTGTGCGCAGGCCTGCTTCCCGAGCCCTCCCTGCTGCATATATACCCCACTACCCCCCGAGGTTGCTGTCACAGGAAGGAACAAGCAGGAGCTCAAGCAGCGAGCAGACGACGACTGACCTTGTATATGCTGGTTGTCGCGGTCCAAGGTCGAGATCGCGGAAACCAAAACGAAGCATTCATTTCAGAACAACTCATACGTGTTATACACAGATGCTTTGATCACAGTCTTTTTGGGCTGAGGTCTTGCGGGAGGGGCTGGGAGGATGTTGGGGATGGATGTCTGCCACCATAGCTTGAAGTGTGCGATGTTGGTCTCCACCTCGCTCGGACGAAAGTCGCTGAGCTTCAGGGTGACCCTGTCGTTGTCCAGTGCGGTGTATGGGTTGCCCAACGGGATGGAGACATAGCCGTCATCTCCGGAGTCCCAGAGCTTTGGAGAGAAAGGAGCCCTGAGCATGCGACTGGGCTCCGACAGTGACGGGTCTATCAAGAACCCCGTCTTCCTGCACTCCAGCTCGATGCAAGCATAGGCAATAGAGATCTTGACATACTCAGGGGTCTTGAACATGCTTTTGGTCTGGAACCACGACACCCTCTCCTGCATGGTCTCAATCCACTCGTGTACCTCTGCGATGGTGGTCATTGCCGATACCGGTGCGAACAGGTTGAGCACATACTTTCGTGCTATCCCATGCACAAAGCAGCAGAGCTGGTGGAGGACACTCTTGATTGGCCCGTATTGCGAGAGCCAATGAGGGTGAGTGTTGCAAGCCTGAATGAAGTAGGGCTCGATCCTCTGGTACCATACCCTGTTCCAGTACGGTATCCAGACAACCTCTCCTGCATCTGTGAGGACATCATCCTGCCACTTGTAATCTTGAGAATGCAGCGAGATGTAGGTGTTGGACACCGTGCGGGAGCTGAGGATGGGCACCGGTGCGACGGACTTGTAGATGGAGGAGCGGATGTTGGTCTCCGTGTCTCTCTGCCACTCCTCTGCCGAGGAGCTCCAATAGAGTTGCTTGAAGGCAAAGTAGATGTGCCATCCCTTGCCGCTGCAGCACACCATGATCTGATTGATGTCCTTGGTCGACTCGCGGACAAAGTTGGTGTACACCCCCTGGCAGATCTGGCTGATCATGAGGAGGTGGACGAGAGGGTCCAGCGTCACGGTGTCAATGTCCATCACGAGCATCCTGTTGCATGGATGGTAGGTTTGATTGGTGCCGGTCACTGGGATGTTGAGCTCGGCCCCGAGGTGCAGAGAGCAGATGTCATTCTTCCTTATGAAGTCATAGAGGTCCGAGACCGGGTCCCGACGGATGGGCTTGCCCTTGAAGGTGGACATCTTGAACGCCATGATGTCTGCATGCTTGAGGCCCTGGAAGGGGAAGAAGATCTTGGCTATCATATCGAAGATGCCTCTTTCCTGGAGGTAATGGAAGAGAGTACGCACACCCTGTCTGCCACGTGCTGACACCTGTGTGGGACACATGGAGATGGCAAGGGGGTCATGATGAGGGAGGCTTTATAGCAACCCTCCCCTAGTCCCGAAATGTGCTGGAACTGTGCTTGAATTGTGCTGAAACATTTCTAGCACAATTCAGACACAGTTCCTGGCGACATACTACCGAAGCCCCTACCCCCACCTCCTACCCTAGGCCCAACCACCCTCGCCTCCCCCGTAGTCAGCTAGGAAACGGAGGCTGCTCTCACAGGCTCGCCTCAAAGATGGAGCTGAGAAGACTCCAGAACTTTCCGGGATGTCGCCAGGAACTGTGTCTATATAAAGTCTCCCTCATCATGACCCCCTTGCCATCTCCATGTGTCCCACACAGGTGTCAGCACGTGGCAGACAGGGTGTGCGTACTCTCTTCCATTACCTCCAGGAAAGAGGCATCTTCGATATGATAGCCAAGATCTTCTTCCCCTTCCAGGGCCTCAAGCATGCAGACATCATGGCGTTCAAGATGTCCACCTTCAAGGGCAAGCCCATCCGTCGGGACCCGGTCTCGGACCTCTATGACTTCATAAGGAAGAATGACATCTGCTCTCTGCACCTCGGGGCCGAGCTCAACATCCCAGTGACCGGCACCAATCAAACCTACCATCCATGCAACAGGATGCTCGTGATGGACATTGACACCGTGATGCTGGACCCTCTCGTCCACCTCCTCATGATCAGCCAGATCTGCCAGGGGGTGTACACCAACTTTGTCCGCGAGTCGACCAAGGACATCAATCAGATCATGGTGTGCTGCAGCGGCAAGGGATGGCACATCTACTTTGCCTTCAAGCAGCTCTATTGGAGCTCCTCGGCAGAGGAGTGGCAGAGAGACACGGAGACCAACATCCGCTCCTCCATCTACAAGTCCGTCGCACCGGTGCCCATCCTCAGCTCCCGCACGGTGTCCAACACCTACATCTCGCTGCATTCTCAAGATTCCAAGTGGCAGGATGATGTCCTCACAGATGCAGGAGAGGTTGTCTGGATACCGTACTGGAACAGGGTATGGTACCAGAGGATCGAGCCCTACTTCATTCAGGCTTGCAACACTCACCCTCATTGGCTCTCGCAATACGGGCCAATCAAGAGTGTCCTCCACCAGCTCTGCTGCTTTGTGCATGGGATAGCACGAAAGTATGTGCTCAACCTGTTCGCACCGGTATCGGCAATGACCACCATCGCAGAGGTACACGAGTGGATTGAGACCATGCAGGAGAGGGTGTCGTGGTTCCAGACCAAAAGCATGTTCAAGACCCCTGAGTATGTCAAGATCTCTATTGCCTATGCTTGCATCGAGCTGGAGTGCAGGAAGACGGGGTTCTTGATAGACCCGTCACTGTCGGAGCCCAGTCGCATGCTCAGGGCTCCTTTCTCTCCAAAGCTCTGGGACTCCGGAGATGACGGCTATGTCTCCATCCCGTTGGGCAACCCATACACCGCACTGGACAACGACAGGGTCACCCTGAAGCTCAGCGACTTTCGTCCGAGCGAGGTTGAGACCAACATCGCACACTTCAAGCTATGGTGGCAGACATCCATCCCCAACATCCTCCCAGCCCCTCCCGCAAGACCTCAGCCCAAAAAGACTGTGATCAAAGCATCTGTGTATAACACGTATGAGTTGTTCTGAAATGAATGCTTCGTTTTGGTTTCCGCGATCTCGACCTTGGACCGCGACAACCAGCATATACAAGGTCAGTCGTCGTCTGCTCGCTGCTTGAGCTCCTGCCTCCTCTTGCCCCCCGTCTCTCCTGTCTCTCCTGTCCTGCCTCCTCTTGACCCTCTCTCCTGTGACTCCTGTCCTGCCCGATCCCTTCCCTTGTTCCTTCCTGTTGTCGGGGCTCCAACCGAAGCCCCCACCCCCACCCCCTGTCCTAGCCCACCCCACAACCCTCGCCTCCCCCGCAGCCAGCTAGGAAACGGAGGCTGCTGTCACAGGCTCGCCTCAGAGAGGGAGCTGACGGCAACCTCGGGGGGTAGTGGGGTATATATGCAGCAGGGAGGGCTCGGGAAGCAGGCCTGCGCACAGCGAGCAACTCAAAGGACATCTGAACCTTGTTGGCTTCCGCCTTGACCAACTCCGACGAGCAGCCTGCACTTGTACCTTTTTGTGCTCCCGTGCCTCTACCTCCCCAGATCGATTCCACCCAGACCCAGCGCTCAGGCTAGAGGCTCGCAGGCCCGAGGGGACACGGGCGGAACGTGGGCCCCGGCCGAGTTTGAGTCCGATCACTGATTAGGGACTTATGCAACAGAGGTCTTTTCGATGGAAGCAACAGGCAATCGTTCTATGAAACTTGAGGTCTCCCTACCCCTCCATTCCTTCTCCGGCAGACCTCGGCCATCGCCCTCGCCTCCTGCTCCCCTTGTCGTCTGAGAAACCTTTTAGTCAACAGATCAGTCAGTAGTGATTTTCAACACCCTTTCGGAAAATTGTCTTTTTTTTTCCACGCGACCCCCACCCCCACCTCAATCTGACCCCTCCTTCTCCCTGTTGGGGCACAGTAACTACGGGGGTACCTTTCGCGGCTCTTGACAATGCACAACATCCTCGTTCCTTCCTCCTTCGCCGTCCTCCTTGGCGGCGCCGCCTTCAACGCTGCTGGATACAACAGCGGTCCCGGTGTCTACGAGTGGAAGGCTGGAGGAAGCGGAGACAAGGCCTTCTGCAAGGCCAACATGAGCGGGTCCCCCAACGACGAGATCTTCTGGGAGTACCCTGTCTGCAGGAGGTACAGCACAAACTTCAGCGAGTGGGACGACCTGGACTCAAGCATCTTCAACTTCAAGTCAATCACTACGCCTGTCGACCCCAGCTACGTCGACGACTGGCTCTACAATGTCGGAAACGGCATCTACTAGTTCACCACTGCGTCCTGAGCTCTCCGAGGAGGAAGGGTGTTGTACTTGTTTCTGTTCCTAACAAACTTGGCTTCACCCTTCTTGATCATCTCCCCTGTCGCTCTCTGTCTCTGTCTCTGTCTCTGTCTCTGTCTGTCTGTCTGTCTGTCTGTCTGTCTGTCTGTCTGTCTGTACTGCAACCTGTAGCTGTCAGACATCAAGTCCCTCTAGCTCAGGGCGACATCAACTTCATTGTCCTGCACATCGTACGTGGTACTTGGATAGTTGTAGGCTACATCAACTGAAGGACAGCAATCCTTGTGAGGAGACGAGCAGATGGAGTATGCCTCCGAGCCCGTGAGCTGGCGATTTCGAGCCTGCAGAGCTTCGAAAGTATACAGTTGAGTCAGGGCTGTCAGTGTGATTCATTCACGGGAGTAGATTGATGGAGGAGGTTTCTCTCTCGCAGCAGTTTCGAGAACTTCTTACTTCATTGGGAGCATCATCGTATCGTGCGCCAGGTGACCGTACGAATCCCAACGCTACATGGTTATGGGATCAGGTCCATTTGAGTGGAGCTGTGCACTTACGGTGCGCACCCCGTCTGACATGACGGTCACGGTAGCCGCAAGTGCAAGCGGGTCAACGGGGGAGAGGGGGAGGAGGGGGGAAACGCGACGTGCGACAGGCTTGACCCTGGCGGTCGGGGAGGACCAAGAAGGCTGATGATGAGTTTGCCATCACTCAGCATTTTGTCAATCTCGTTGACGAGCAGGTGTTTGATGCTTGTGTGCCCTTAGAATCATCGCTCTAGGATTACATACCGGCGATCCCTCCGTCCTTGAAACGCGTAGGAAAAGTTACCAGCACAAGTTTTTGGTAGTGATGCCTAGATTGTGCTGATAACTTTTCAAATATCGTGTGATAGATAGATTGTACTGAAAATTTTCCAGCACAATTCGAGTGATAGCTAGATTGTGCTGTAAATGTTTTAGAGTGACGGCTGAGGGGGGACTATATGAATGAACCTCTTTCGCAAACTCGACCCAAGGCACGCAGATGACAGACGCCTTTGAAAACTTTTGAAGGCATGATCATCTGAACAGCAAGGATGTTGACATAGGACGGGAGTTGCATCAAGTGTGTTGCTGGAAAACAGGCGCCATGCACGGTTGAATGACCTTGCCAATTGGTGTACGGAGGGGGAATGCAAAGATTTGGATAAAGATATACGTCGGGAGCTCTACTTCATTCACATTGAGAAGATTATCTATTGCCGGCTGTATGGATCAACGGAGGAGCTCGAGACTGCTCTCACTGTGGCACGTAAGTATGCTCGCATCTATGCAGGTGTTGACAAACTGGACCTAGACATGCTCATGTGTCTCTTTCCCGATGCTCATGTAGGATACTGAGTTTCTCGTTCCATCAAGGGTTTGCGTCTTCCAAGCACGAGACAGCCTCTCGCGTCCGGGCCCCCGGGGCCGGGCTGATCGCCGTCCAAGTGCAGCAGGATCACCAACTCAAGTACCAACCGATCTCAACCTCCCCGCTCTAGCCATGGAAGTGCAATCCATGATCGACGCGGAGCACGCGTCCATATTCCCTTCATGCGCCTCTCATCGCAAATGGACATCTCCACCGTCTAGACCTGCCCAGGACACGCCGACGGCCCTCTGCTTCCCTAGTCAGTTGCCCCTTGCCAGCGCTACCATGCGACCCCTGCAAGGCAGTCATCCAGCTACACTGCTTCATCATGTCCGCACCTGATCAGCTCCTTGCCTGCTTGTACCTGCTGCTCCCTCCCCCGCATCCCTTGCATACCGATCGCTGCTGTCCGTGCTCGCATATGCTGCTGCCCCCGCATCCCTTGCATTTCGATCGGACCCGCCCGTGCTCGCATATGCTCCCGCCCCCGCAGTCCTTGCATTGCGATCGGACCCGCCCGTGCTCGCATATGCTGCTGCCCCCGCATCCCTTGCATACCGACCGGACCCGCCCGTGCTCGCATATGCTGCTGCCCCCGCATCCCTTGCACCTCGATCGCTCTCGCCCGTGCTCGCATATGCTGCTGCCCCCGCATCCCTTGCATACCGACCGGACCCGCCCGTGCTCGCATATGCTCCCGCCCCCGCATCCCTTGCATACCGATCGCTGCTGTCCGTGCTCGCATATGCTGCTGCCCCCGCATCCCTTGCACCTCGACCGGACCCGCCCGTGCTCGCATATGCTGCTGCCCCCGCATCCCTTGCATACCGACCGGACCCGCCCGTGCTCGCATATGCTCCCGCCCCCGCATCCCTTGCATACCGATCGCTGCCGCCCGTGCTCGCATATGCTGCTGCCCCCGCATCCCTTGCACCTCGACCGGACCCGCCCGTGCTCGCATATGCTGCTGCCCCCGCATCCCTTGCATACCGACCGGACCCGCCCGTGCTCGCATACACCCCTTCCTTTCCTTCTCTTCTCTATGTCTCCATCGACCATACCTTCCTCTTCTCGTTCCTCTCTCGTCTTGCCTGATCCCTCCAGCCTCCTCCTCTTGCTCGACCTGCCGCTGCCGTCTACCGTCATGGCTTTCCACCTGTGCTCAGACTTCATCCCCCTCATACGCCATCCTCGGTCAATGAATGAGCGGGGACGAGGGGGCCCTCCCTGAAGGGTCGTGCATGCTCAGCGAGCTGGCGGCTTTCAAGGAGAAGGAGAAGGGGAGGAGCGTCAGACAGGCGGTGAGACCTGCAGCCGCTCTTACCTCGATGCCATGTCATGCTGACCTGCAGCCGCCGCTCTTACCTTGATGCCATGTCATGCTGGCCTGCAGCCGCTCTTACCTTGATGCCATGTCATGCTGGCCTGCAGCCGCTCTTACCTTGATGCCATGTCATGCTGACCTGTAGCCGCTCTTACCTCGATGCCATGTCATGCTGGCGAGTTGTAACGCGTTTCTGCAGAACGATTGCTGGTACTCGGGGATTGGAGGACTAGCAGAATTCTTTTAAGAGACCTCTCCGAGGCTCAATCACAGCTTCAAGGTGAGCCCCCTTACCGCCCAAGTGATCCAACTTTTTGACTTCTTGTGAAGAAGATGATCAATCGTCTCTTTCCTGGAGCTCAACGAACGCAAATGCTCTGATCTTTTCCTGACTGGTCCGTCGAGCTCTGTGCAAGTCGTTGATGTCTGATTTTTTAAAATCCCAGGATGTATCCAGAAAAGCATAAGAGCTTCATTCAGCAGGTAGATGTTGTTGCAAGGGAATATGCTTGGTTTGCTTACCATCATCAAGGTGGAGAATGGCGATTACTCAGGATCTACCGGCGACTCGTCAACCGATCCAGAGACATCAAAAGATTCTTGTGTTTCTGCACCCGTTGTCTTTCTTTAAGCTTGGACGCTTTGAAGATCATCTCAATCAGAGCTTCTCTCCTTGGTTTTGACGTTGCCGTCGATTACTCCGAATGATTGTGTCTAGGGAAAGTGCTTGTCCGTTTTTGCATCCTGTTCACGTGAGATGGAGTTATATCGACATGACGAGAATAATAAATCCTCTATGACAAAGCTTGATACTTGATGATTTCTCTCGACAGAGACAGAATTTCTCATGAGAAGCCTGAGGCAGTCGCCTTCATGCTGTACTCCTCATCATACCTCCTCTATTGCTGTGACCGTGACCGGGTGGCACATCGGGCCCGCCGGCCATCGGACTCCCGGTCATCGGATAAAAAGCTTACGGTCATCAGTATCGTCAGGGATACGTTGAGTCGCCCAGTACCAGGCATGGCTGGCAGGCGCCTGTTGCACGTTGGGCTCCTGATCGCTGCCATAGAGACATGCAGGGGCTGGTCAGCACCGCAGCCTCTCAGAGCTCACGCTGGATCCCCTCCTCGTCACCGATGCCTCCTCCCTCGCGTCTCCATGTCAACAGAGCCGAACAGCAACCTGGCTCTCGACCGACGATCACTGCTGGCGCTTGGGATCTCACTTGCTTTCCTGCCTGGAAAGCTGCAAGCTGCCATCCCCTCGCAGGAAGAATACAACGTGGGAAGCGGAACAGTGGTCAGAGCCAAACAATCAAACAGGGAGGTTAGGAAGGAATTCAAAGCCCCACCTGCTTCAAAGGAAGAGGCCGTGGAAACGCTGAAGGATGCAGAACGCCTGGTCGATTCTCTGAGCGAGTATGCAAAGAACATGGCATGGGATGATGTAGGACTGGATTGTCTGTAGAATTCTTTGATTGACGGCCTCACAGATTCGGGCAGAAATGCTGACTGCACCCCTTGCAAACCAGAAGTTCTCAAAGCCTGACAGACCAGCCATCTTGTTCTTGTCTTTCTTCGGGTAAGAAATGTCTGGCGATCGAACCTGCACCTCATCTCATGATACCATTTCAGCTTCAAGTCGGAGAAGGAGTTGATGACGGTCATGAAAATCGACAAGAAAGCAGCCACTAGGATCGAGAAACTAAGGTCTTGTGCTACCCCAGGTTGATTCACTCGTGTGAATTTCTCTACAGGAAGGATGCTTCTCTTACCTTGATGGAGCTCGCTGAATTTGCATTCACAAATCGTGTTGTATTCTTTAATGAGGAGGACAAGAGGTGATTGTTGGCACTCACATGCCATGTGACCCTCCCTCTGAGCTCGCAATGTCTCGAGGGACGTTTGATCGCAAAGGACTAATTCATTGATAGGACTGTAGCTGAACTTTCTGAAAAGAACTTGCAAGTCGATCTCGACGAGGCTCTCCGACTCATTCAAGATTCGAAGGTGAGATGTTCATCAGCAACCTATCTGTCTCACACGCTTCGTCAGGAGCGAATCCAAGAAATCATTCAATCTCTTTCTGCTGCTTAATTTTTACACGTTGAGGGATGAAGAACTTAATATTCAAGTGAGATTCTGCACGGCGAAATAACCATTCATAAGAGCTACAGCAACAAACGTTAGTTAGGCTTTCTTGACCTCTCGTAGCGTCTAACCTGCGAATCGTCTTGAAGGCTCGCTATCCAAACATCGTTGGGCATTCTGTCGCTCTTGTAGCTTATATTGGATAAATTTACATGGTCGTCAAACGGACTCGCGTCCTTTGTTGCTGATGGAGTGATCAGCGTCAACAGCATGCCAGGAAAGCGAGAGGAGATTTACCTACTATGCGACTTACTCCATTACTTCTTGGACTGTAATATTGTTGTTGTGAACTTCTCCTCCTCAACAACATCACTTCGTTCAATAAGTTACAGGTTTCCTGGTCGAGCTTCTCATATGCTATATCGAAAGGCAGCTTTCCAGCTTTGTTGACGCAGTGTACACTTGCGCCGTGGGTTAACAGGTGTTTCACACATTCCTTTGACCCTTGTGAACACGCCTTGTGCAGAGCCGTGTTTCCGTATTCATCTGCAGCGTTGAACCATCACTGCCACTGCCAGAGAGCTACTTGCATCTCAGTCTTACCTGCCCAATTCAGGTCCAGCAGTTCGTCGCGGTCCAGGAGCAGGCAATGAAGAGTTTTCGAGTCTCCAGCAGCGGCAGCTCTGTGCAAGGAGAAGCAGACTTTCCTTCGCTTCGTCTCTTCCTCTGTCATGCTCGAAGTCTCTCTCTGCATCGACCCGCCGCCGCCACCACCACCACCACACGAACTCGGACAAGCATTGCCCATTCCGATCCGTGTCCTGCTACGTAGGGTGGGGTAGTATATTTTATATTCAGATACGGGTATTTGTTATGTATCATTAGGTGGTAGGGGTACTTTAAGTACCGGTAGTACATCGGAGTATGTCATGTTTTTTACTAAACAATTTTACTCATCACAGGTTTAGTCAACAGTTCAGGTGTATGGTAGCGTCGGGGGTAGTGGCATGATAAAATGGGGGTAGCCTTCAAGGGGGGTGGTGACGGTACCCCTTCAGATGCATCTGGCATGGCGCCCCAGCCAAGAGCAGAGGAAAGAGCAGATCAGATGCGAGATGAGCGAGAAACGACGAGCATGGAAGGGAGGAGTATCAGGAGCAAGATGGATAGCGCTAGCAATAATGAGATCGAGAGCAGTAACAAGAGCGATAGGGGAAGCAAACTCTAGAGCCATGTGAAAGAAGAGCACAAGAGTTTGTTTTGGGAACAAAGAATCACGAGGTGGGATAGAGAGCAAGAGCTGGAGGTGAAACGAGGAGGACAGGGAGGAGAACAGTGACAAGCTTCGAGAGATGATGCAAGTCTGAAACATTTTGGCAGGGATTTCTTTCCCCCGAGATGAGCAGCAACGAGCATCCTGCTCTGAAGGATATTCCCTTCCTCGATGTCGAGAACGTGGAGCGATACCTGCGGAGAAGTGAAGTAGGGGACTACCTCGTGTACCGTGCGAAAGAAGATGCCCCGATGGCAGGCGGCAAGTTTCTGCCCATCTGTGTCTCCTATGTGGACGACAGTTATCGGCACCTACACAACAAGATCTTCATGTGCTTGAACGGAGCAGACAACTGGGCCTCCATGGACGGGTGGTTGACGATTCATCCCGAGCCATGGTCCGTGCAAGACCCGTCGGAATTGCTACTAGGGAATCAGATTTATCCCGAGCTAGCCACGCTTGCAGATGTCCTGCCGGAGCTAGTCCGACGCATCGACTTGTCCGTTGCACCCAAGGCAGAGCAGCAAGTAGCCATCGCAAGCGAGCCCAGGGAGAGAGCAGCCGATGTTCTTGATCTTGCTGTGCCGGATGTTGAGACTGAGGTGGAGTGGATGGGCAGCCCAGACGATCAGGCGTTCTTTGAGCTGTTGAAGTTGTTCAAGTTCTCGCTGTCGACCTCCATATTGGCGATCGCATCGAGGTATGGAGGTGAGATTCCAGGGCTGATGCGCATACAAATCTCTCACAAGAGACTGCGGAGCATGATTGAAGAGGCTGCTAACCGAGAGATCGCCGTCAACTTTCCGGGAAGCTACCTCGAGCCCGAGTCCCAGTGTGTCGTCATCTGGCTTGTCTGTACGGAACTCACCGGACAGAAGTTCCTGCAGGCTTCTGTCGGCACCCAGCTTCGCAAATTTCTCACGATTGCCGAGGAGTTCGAGGTGAACGCGCAGGGTAAGATCAAGATATCATCTGCAGCAGCGCACATCATGGCAGCAGCTAGGCTGATAGGAAAGTCGCTGCTAGAGACTGTCAACACGTTCCCCCTGTGCTGTGCTCAAATCCTCTTCACCATTGACAGGACTGTGATGAAGAAGATCGGGTCAAAGGAGGTGGAGAAAGTGTCAACATTCTTGTTCGAGCGATTCGTCCTTGAAGCTATTCTCACTCCTGCCGTTTTTGGGATTTCAAAGGCGGACATATCTGACGTGCAGAAGCAAGCGTTGGATGCCCTGTACAAGCTCCTCAAGTTGTCCTCTAAAGCCAAAGATCCTCCGTCCATGACTGAATTCCGCGCCCTCGATTCTGTCATGCCTGCTGTGCCCGAGTGTCGAGAGATGCTGCGGAGCTTCTACCAGTCTGTGATCAGCATAGGATCCCCAGGGGCTCGCGTTCTTCCTGTATCCTCCTCCAATGGAGGGGTTCGCTTCAGCAGCATCGACGTTGACGTCCTCCTCAAGTTTCTGCGGGAGCACTACGTGGAGACCTTTGACGCGATCTCCTATATCGAGTCGCAGGCAGAGGCGACTGAGATCTGCTCCAGGCTGCAGCCCATGCTCTTCAAGCCCTCCGAGAAGGTTCCGGAGCTCCCGATCGGCAAGACGGTGGAGGCTCCGCACCCTGTCGACCTGACCAACGCTGCGTTCCTCGGAGAGATCGCCGTTGGCGACGTGCGAGTCGGCGACATTAGAAACGAGGAGACGCTCGGTCCTGCCATTCGCCGTGCGCTCGAGAGATCTGTAGAGCGTCCGGAAGCGGGAGCGGGAGCGGGAGCGGGAGCAGGAGCAGGAGCAGGAGCAGGAGTGTCGAACGAGATGGAGAAGGCTGGTGTGGGTCTGATCTTCCGCAAAGACAACTACGGACTCTTCCACGTGCTCACCATCGCGCAGGACGGGCCGGCGGATCGCAGTGGAGTGGTGGAGGTGGGAGACATCCTGGTGGAAGTGAACGGGAGCGAAGTGGTTGGCATGAGCCTGAGCCAGCTCAAGTCGCTGATCCTCGGGCCTGCCGGGTCGCCGGTGAAGCTAGTCTTCGAGAGGCCACAGAGCTCGTCGCTGTTCCGGTTCGAGCTCTGCCTCTTCCGCGGGAACTTCCGGGGGTCAGACTCGAAGTCCATCGGGTTCCCCATCCACCTGCAGAAGGCGAACCAGGAGAGCAGAATCTGGCACGAGATGTCCAGGGTGTTCGCGGAGATCGAAGAGCTGCAGCAGAGGAGGTCGCGAGCTGAGAAGGCGTTCCATGCTGCCGAGCAGCTCCGACAGCAGCAGGAGGCGGCGGCCGTGGACTCAGAGGAGAGGTGCGACAGGATGCGCAAGGATATTGCGGTGCTGGAGGAGAAGCTGGCGCAGATCCAGGGGGAGAGGAAGGAGCTTCAGGTTTCTATCGCCAAGGAGAACCTCCTGCTCGAGAAGCGCAAGTCTGGCCTGTCTCTTCCCTCCTTCTCGAGGCGGGACAGCAACAGCGAGAAGGCGATCTCTAGCCAGGAGGAGAAAGGGGAGGAGGGGCTGCAGTTGCCGGACTCCATCCAAGTCCCTTCCTGCCAGCAGCAGTGAAGCTGGGAGACCCTCTCCTGATGATAGAGAGCTAGAGGAGAAGCAGGGCGGAGAGAGGAGGAGGAGGGGGAGCTGTAAACTAAGCGCAGCTGCTGGGAGTAGACGAGAGCTTTGCTTTTAAAGGTTGGCTGCTGCCTGAAAGATCCTGCGAAGAAGCCCCTTGTCACTCCATTCCTTCTTCCTCCCGTCCAGTCCTAAATGCTCCATCCTCTCTGCCGTCCGCACAAAGAGAAGCCCTCCCTGGACCTGCGAGGAAGTGAGGAGACGATAGGGGGAGGAAGGAGAGAGAGAGGAGGAAGGATAGGAAGAGAGAGGGAGGAGGAACGCAACGTAGGGTGAAGAACGAGGGAGGAATGGATCAGAACGGGAAGGGGGAGGAACGAGTGGAGGGCTACTGACCACCATAACGTTGGTGACGAGAAAGAAGAGCGCTTCTTCTAGAGGAAGCGAACCGAGTTGAGGTCCGAGGAGAAAGTTGGAGCTGAGCGACCAGATGTTGAGATCTGCGGGGAAAGCGTAAGATGGTGTGAGGAGGGAGGAGAGGAGGGGGAGGAGAGGAGGGCTATGGAGATTGAAGGGAAGTGGGGAAAGTTCGGGAAGGTAAGGAGAGTTGCTAACGAAGGAGGTACGGGAGAAGGGAAAGGGGAGTGAACAAAAGGAGACAGAGGGAGGAGGAGGAGGGAAGGAGAGAGCAGGGAGGGGGGAGGGTTACATATCGCTATTCCATCCGCCATCCAGAGGAAGGCAGTAGGAAGACACACGCTGACGAGGACAAGCCTTCTCTCCCTCCACACGATGTGACCCCCGAATATCCACTGCAAGCAAACCACCGGGAGGGCCCAGCCTGCAGGAGCTGAGACCGAGCGAGAGCAGGGAGGAGAGGCAGGAGAGGAAGCAGCGAGGGAGATAGGTGGGAAAAGCGGGAGGGAGGGAGGAGGGAGGGAGGGAGGGAGGGATAAGTGGAGGGAGGGAGGGAGGAAGAAGGAGGGGGAGGAAGGAGGGAGGGGGAGGGGGAGGAAGGAGGGAGGGGGAGGAGGGGAGGGGAGCAGGAGGAGAAGGAGAAAGGATGGAGGAGGAGGAGGAGGGAGACTATACCTGTGATGAGGCTGAGGTATTTGGCCTTGTCCGATCCAGAGAAAAACACAACCCAGCTAAGGCCGGACAGCGCGGCGAGCAGGAGGCCACCTGCGACCCTGATAGCTCGATCCCTTGCTGCTGAACTGCCTCGATTGTTCTGCTGGGGAGCTCGTAACATGCTGTTCCTGATACTGGTAATGTACGTCAAAAACTACATCCTCCTCCTCCTCCTCTGTCCTGCTCCTGCTCCTGCTCCTCCTCCTCCTCCTGTTCCTCCTCCATTCTCCTACACCCCCTTCATTCTCCTCCTCCTCCCTCCTGCTCTCTTCACCTCAGCTGCAGCATTTGCCGCTCCATGGCTGTGAGAAGCCACAGGGAAGATGCGATTGTCTACCGAGTCACTTTCAGAAGGGAGCAGGGTAGAGCGATCCATGCGGATAAGGAGGTGTAAGGAGGAAGGGAAGGAGGGAGGGATGTGAAAGGGGAGGAGAGGAGGAACGGGAAGAGCGGAAGAAGGACGGGAGGGGAGAAAAAGGAGAGGGGAAAGGAGGAGGAAGAGGAGCAAGGAGGGAGGAGGAGGTAGTTCCAGGGATTGAGGAGGAGGAAGGTGGACCTGTATAATGAAGAAGCAGTACTCCTCTACAGGAACGTAGCCGATGGTGAAGAGAACTCGACCGGGAGGATACGTCCATATCCCCTGAGGTGAAGGGAGCGTGAGGGGAGGAAGGGGGGTAGAGGGAGCGCAGATGAGGGGGGGTAAGCAAAAGAGGAGAGGAGAGGAGAGGAGAGGAGAGGAGAGGAGAGGAGAGGAGAGGAGAGGAGAGGAGAGGAGAGGAGAGGAGAGGAGAGGAGAGAGGAGAGAGGAGGTGAGGAAGGGAGAGGAGACGAGAGGAGAGGAGGTTAAGACAGTAGTAAGGAATAAAGGAAGGGACAGGAAGAGGAGGAGAGATCGACTGACCTTGTAGACGAGGTAGTTGTCCCATGGAGTCGTGTAGGTGAGGGAGAGGAAACAGAGCAAGCAGGTGGCCGTCAGGCTCCTCATCCTCATCTTCTTCAACTTCTCGTGCAGAAATTCAACGTGAGGCTGTTGGCAGTCTTGTCAGCGCTGGCGGAGAATGATGATAATAATCAGGATGAGAATGATGAGGATGAGGAGGATGAGGATGAGGATGATGATGATGATGATGATGATGGCCGACACGACTCTATGGGACACGACTCCATGGGACAACGACCGCGGCTACAAGGTCAGTCGATCTCTCCTCCTCTTACTGTCCCTTCCTTTATTCCTGACTCGTGTCTTACTAGGGTCAAAC